GTAGTATCAAAATAAGAGTTGATGAATTTTTATATTATTTGATAATTTGGTTAATGCCCAAAACATGGCTAAAAATGTAAATTTCAACATATTTTTATTTTTTACCCGTAATTATGTTAACCACTTAAATACATTCTTGCGCAACGTGCGAGATTACGCTTAGTTTGTATATGTAATCCACATACTCCTAGATGGGGATGATGTTAGTCCCAGGAACCCAGCGGTCGTGAGGCCAAGAAAGAATAAAATCAAAGGAAGAAAGAGAGAATGGTGTGTTGCTTTGCGTTGAGTACGTGTTGCCATGAGGCGTTAGGTCGGGGAAATGTTCCAAGCAACTCAACGATATGGAAGGAGGCCAACTCACCCTCCTCCACAACGTTTCCTTCCCATAACTAGTAGTCTAAGGTTGTGATGACGAAATAGTAGTGATATGGTGATAACATGGATTCATTTTTTAAGTGGTCATGTGGTTATCATAATAGCCTAATTATTTTTCCTATTAAGTCAAATGTCAAAATCAAGATGGCCTAATTATTTTTCCTATTAGCAGAGAAAATTTATGAATTTCATATATCATTATTTTATATGAGTAACAAGATAGATATGATCAGATAAAATAATATTTAATTTCTTATAATAGATTAGGTTACATCGTTAACATTGCATTATAAAATCTATAGAATGTATTAAAAACACCAACAATATTACCTGGAGAAAAAATAAAAAATTAGTAACTGTAATATCTATTATTATCTTACAAAATATTAATATGATATAGGTACGATATTAGGATTTGGTTAAAGAGGCAGATGTGTGATTATGTTTGCGGTTTGCCAAATCCCTTATATCCAATGCACTATGCTCGATAGTGCCATTACATTCTCAAGTCTCAAAGATATTGAATGAGGAAAGAATATGTGTACTATGCTCGATAGTACACCTTTAAATGTAGTGGAGTTGTTGGACTATGGGATCACATTTAATTTTCTTTTTCTACCATCATTTTTAGAAATATTATTTTGGAATCAATCAAACAAGAAAGAAAAGAAGTGATATATATATATATATATATATATATATATATATATATATATATATATATATATATATATATATATATATATATATATATATATATATAGAGAGAGAGAGAGAGAGAGAGAGAGAGAGAGAGAGAGAAGTGATCAAATGAGAACACCTAAAAGGTTGAGAAAGCGAGAACAGTTCCGGACCAATCAATATATAAGATCATATTAGTAATTGTATATTTTTATTAAATTAAAATAAAATAAAATCAATCAAATTCCCTTAAATTTAGGATCAGTTACCAAAAAAGAAGAAAATATTTGATTTTTTATTTTTTTTATTAATGAAATATAAAAAACATTTTTATCCAAAAAAAAAAATAACTATAAAGATTTAATTTTTTTCTCCTATTTCACGCTTTTTTTTTTCGAAAAAATTAATAGAAATCCAACCCCAAATCAATACATTTGTATTCATAAAAGATTTTTTTTTTCAAAAAAACTAATACTACTACAATCACAAATGAATACATCTCAATTTACAAGTAATTCACATTTCTTTTAATTAACCGAAAATAAAAGGGGTGTAAAAATTATCATTTCTTCATAAAAGAATACCTTTAATAATAAATAAATACACTTATTCACGCATGATTACACTGCTATTTACAAATGAATACATTGTTATTAACAAATTAATACTCTGGTATTCACAAATGAATAAAAGAATACATTTAATCATAAATAAATACTCTCATTCACACATGATTACACTGCTATTTACAAATGAATACATTGTTATTAACAAATGAATACCTCTCACGTATTTCATCAAACAACCCAATCGTCCCAGATACAAAGTCAATGAACCCGATGTCAAATACGCCCTCCACAACCAAATCAACAAGCCACTATTCTTCGTTTACATAAGTCGATTTTAACTTTTATGGTTTTGACCATGTAGAACAATCTCAACCATTCCGACTCAGCTTTATTACAGATTGCGAATTAACCGGTGTTTTAAGCCCCGAATGTAAAACCCATTTAGCGATTGCGAACCAGTCATCAAATTAATTCCGATCAAAATCAGAATCACTATAAACAACCAAGAATTCGATAATCCCAACAAAGCGATTCAGTCTTCACATCCAATTGGTTCGTCCGTTCATCACTAGACTTCGAGATTAGCATTTAATCAAATATCAAATCGATTCTTCAAAGATAGATTTCACTCACATATCATCGAAAATTTTCATGTTCGAGATGAATCAAATTAATAATCATGAAATCAAATTGACTATAAGAACAGGAACGAGAAAATTGATGAAAAAATATGATCTTGGATTAAAATTAACGGAAATCGATTCATGAGAATTGATATACACACGATGAAGACCATTAACCTCAAAAAAATCATCGATTGTAGATTTAGAACAGAAGAATTGATATACACCCATGTGCGTTCGATTTATTCCCTCTGTATCTCGATTTCCTTCAACCAAATTACCTCAAATTGTGTTTCATGCTTCGAATCCACTCCCGTCTCCTCGTCTCTTTTGAAACACCTCAATGGTCGGGGAAGTCGACGTCGCTGCACCATCTTTGGCAAAGCTTGCGTTGTCGGGGCTAAGGCAGCAGAAGGAGGCGGCAACGTTGCAGATTGGTGAGAGGTAAATGGATTGTTGAAGATTGAAGACGAAGGAGAAATGGGGTGCTTTCTAGATGAGTAGAGAAAAAATCAACTCCATAAATAGTCTTTATCTTCACAGCAGCTTGTAGGTCCAATTAGGGCTACAAAAATCATTTGATAGGGAATGAGTTGGGAAACGACAATCTTTAATGGAAATAAGAATGGGAATGAGAAATTATAGGATTGACCTAAAGTTTCAATTACTATTATACCTTTATGCCATTTTGAAAGTCACACTTTACTACCGATAGTTTTTGAATCAACATAAATTATCCGTTTGATAATAGCTATATATATATATATATATATATACATATTGTCAAAATCGCGATCCTGATCGTAGGATCGTACGATCCTACGATCCTAGGTATGAAAAACGATCCGGATCGTAAAAGGATCGTATTTAGGGTAGGATCGCAAGTACGATCGTAAGATCGTAGGTAGGATCGTAGGATCGAGATCCGATCCGATCCAACCTTCCTTTGACTTATTTTTTTTTATTTTTTTTGCAACTGAATTTTTTTTACAATTTTATGTCTTTTACCATTTACCAATCTACCGTTTATTATTTTTTATTGTGACTTATGAGTAATATTTTGAAGTTTTTTTCTAGACTTTTGAACGAAAAATTAAATGTTTGAAATATTTTTCATGATTAAATATTATAAATTAAATTATATGTTATTTTGTGGGATCTTAGAATCTCGATCCCGATCTTGCAAACCCAAAAACGATCTTAGGTAGGATCCCGATCTTGACAACGTTATATATATATATATATATATATATATATATATATATATATATATATATATATATATATATATATATAAAGAAATCATATTATTTTTTTAAAATTTAACTTTGACTTGACATGTGGTTCGTTTTTGTTAATATTTATTAAGTACTCACTTTATTGAAAAGAAACAATATTATGATTTTACTTTATTTTTGAAGCTTTTTTTTGCCAACATAAAAAGGCAAAAAGGTATTGATTTGAAATGGGAAGAACGATATATAAATGGCATTGGATGCCTTTTAATCTGAGCAAGTCTACTGCTTTTGGCTTTTGCCCTTTTTCACTCCAACCAACTACATACTTTAGCTTTTATTCAAACCATTACGATTTTCTGATTAAGTTTTATTCTAGACTTTTGATTTAGAGTGAATTACATGAATGGTCCCTATATTTTTAGATAATTTGTGTGATTGGTCCCTAACTTATTTTTTTAACTCGTAATGTCTCTGTTGTTTGTTTTTATTAGCGTTTGGTCCCAACTATTTGTTTTTGTTACGTGTTTGGTCCTTATCTTAGCTAAAAAGACTATTATTTAAATAAGAAAAAACATTAAGGTAGGTAAGGTAATGTGATGGGATGAGGTTGTAAGTGTGTTTATTTAAATAAAATAAAAAAATCAAAGGCAAAATAATTTTTTAGGTAAGACAAGAACCAAGTGCGTAACAAAAACAAATAATAAGAACCTTTCGAGTTGAAAGAATAAATTAGGAACCAAACGTGCAAATTACCTTAAACCATAGGAACCATTTGTGTAATTTACTCTTTGATTTAAAATATATCTTCTTTCGTTGTTCTGTCTTACTATTTATTTTATACGGTGACAAGTGTTTTAAAATTTAATTTAAGTGATATTAAATTTAATTTAAATTTGATTGAGATGTTAAATTTATATATTTATCATCATCTTAAATAGATAGGAACAAAAATAAAATATTTAATTTCTCCTTTTTAGCCTATAAACCATAATAAATGTGATAAGAACATTATGGGTTATGGGAAGTTAACATTTACATTTTAATTGTACCATAATTACTATGCTATAAGAAGGAAAACGGATATTAATTTTAAATATCAAAACTTTTTTTTTTTTACATTTAAATTCAATTGTTAATTTAACAGAAAATATTAAATGCGATTTCCTTTGGCATTCATATATACTAACTTTTTTTAGAAACAAAATCTCTACTAAATTTGTTGATGCAATAGATTTGCTTGTGAGGTATCTTTTATTATTCACAAATTAAATGACTAAATATATATTTATTTAAATATTTAAATTAAAAAAGGGAGCTATACTATTACTAGCTATTCTCATTGTGTACAAAATTGCTACCCTTCAGCTAAACTAGATTCCGGCGACCAGAAAATGTAGGCTGATCTGTGGAAATTCCAGAACTGCCCTCAGCGGAACCTTTGTGTTTGACTTTTGACTGACTGGCCTCACCATTTCCGTTACATCCAGCTTCTCCGGCCACCGGTAATCGTTTCATCTCTGACCGACGTTATTCTCAACCCGATTATGGTTGACATTACCTCCGCCGGCGATGACATTGTGAAACCTCATCAGCTGTCGACACTCCTTGTGGTGTCGCATTTTCCAGTCCTGTGCCTGACATGCTCGTGAACAGTAGTTCACGACTCCACACGCCGCGCACCGGCGAAACTCCTGCATCCTCGTCTCCGGTCGACCGCAACCAGCATGAGAACATATGAGCAATTCCGGACTGGGTATCCGATTGGCGAACCAACTGGCAAGAAAACGGTTGGCCGGATGATATTCCGGAGTGACGTTGCACCCGAAATCACTCAGTAACGGACACCCAGGGATCAGGGTGTTTCCACGGCGGATGAGGACCGGGTTCAGCTTCAGCCAGTCACCGGGAAGTAATGCCGACGGGATTGTCGACCGAGCTACTGCTAGTTCACGGGCGTTAGCTTGAACGAGAAACCGCCGGCCTTCGGTTATGTTTTGAGTAACGCCGTAACCGTCTTGGAGACAATGGCCAAGTTCCCGGAGGGCGTCAATGTGGCCGAGAAAAGCCGCACGGGCACATAGAGAAACGCCGCCGCCTAGGTCTTTTTTTGACTTCGAGCCGCCGCTACCGTTAAAATGGATGACGGCGAGTGAGTACAACGCCGGAGCGTGCGAACTCATCGCCGCCTTCGCCATAAGAGATGCTCCATTTTGCCAGTTTTGAAAACAGTAGAATCGAATCTGTGTTTCAAAATAACAAAACTAATCAACATTACAAACTGTTTATAGATTAAAAAAATCAACACAAAATATGAAAAATGACCAACCATGCCCAGTGTGTAACAAGCTTCAACATTGCCGGCATCGGAACACCGTTTCAGAAACCGATGTGCAGATTCAGACCAATTCTTAGCTGTGACGCCAAATGTTTCAGCCGAAGCTTTTGATAACACAGACGAATCATACCCCAAACCTCTGAATCTCTTGCATCTGTTTCACAATATCAACACAAATTAAAGAAGAACAAGGAAGACTTTTAAATGTCTTTCTCCATTGAAAATTTCAAAATACACACAAAGTCTTTCCGGTTTTCGATTCCTTACGTTGCTAAAACGGCCAGAAAGTCGGCCGGACAATCAGCTCTGGATCCGACGAATGTAAGAATAGAAAGAACGAGTTCGTCCGGCAGCCTATCAAAATTATCGACGCCACCAGACGACGGTTTCCCTCTTTTCCGGCAGTTCATCTTCCGTGCTCCGGTCAAATCACGACCTTTTCTCTTCCGACCACTGATGTTATTGTTATCCTCCACCGGATACAAGTTCCCACTGCGAGTTCTCATTTTCGAAAATTTTCCGGCGAAAGAAACCCTTGAGGATCTGTAGTAAAACGACAGTGATTGGCGTTGAAACAAGGATTCGGTGACTTTATATAACGGCAGAGAATCGAATATCGTGTGTAAATTACCAAAACACCCTGGGGCTTAACTCAGTTTTGTCTTTTTGTGTTTGTTGAAGAAGAAAAATTGGTTGTCAATCGGCGGTTTTAAAACTAAAATTAGAAAAGAAAAAATAGTAGTCAAGCGGCGTTGACTGGATCCATTGGTCCGTTACGAAGTTGTACCTGGTACGCTTTGTCTGCTTGTAAGACTACTGAAACAAATAGGCACAGAAGATAATGGGAAGAGATAAGGAAGTCAAATATCAGTCTTCGATTCCTCTTCTTCGTATAATTTCAAAAAAAAAAAAAAAAAAGTTAATAAAAATGTATTTTTATGAGTTTTAAACCAACGCATTAAATAAAAATATTTATTACTCAAGTGCTATATTTTTATATTAATTACTTTAGCTAATATATATACTAAACGTTAATATATATCTTATACTGTAAGTTTCAGATTTTCCTGTATAAGTTATTATTAGAAAATTTGCAAATACAGTTCTTTGTAAAACGTAACTACGGGAGTTTGTTGATATGCGGTGGTCATACATGTGAAAACGTGAGACGAGTATTTTGGATTGCACAATACTCATGTGTGATGTATTAGATAAAAATATTTTAAATATATATAGTTTTTACTTGCACCCTACAATATTTTGGCTTTGACTACCTTTAATATGCATACAAATTTCAATTATTTAATAAGAATATAATTTAAATAATACATGTGATTGCTTTTACTAATCTGCTTATCATCAATATGAGAAAATATGTATCTTCTTCCACTATACTTATCTTGAATATGAGAAAATACATATGTTGCTTCGCTTCTCAGTATGATTAAATTTTATATTATCTTCCTCTCATATTTATTATTTATTTTTGAGTTTTAAAATATTTATTCTTCAATTTAACATTAAATATTTTTGTTTTTATATACAATACATTATGCAAAATATATGAATGGATGGTTTTTTAAATGTCTTTTCATTATTATAAGTTTTATTTAGTACTATATAATAAAATAAAAATATTTAAACAAAAAACTTTCAAGTTGAAGAATAAATACTTCAAAAATCAAAAGTGAATAATAAATAGGGAAATCCCCGATAAAATCATAATATTTTCGGTCAGTTTACAGTTTAATCCAAATTTTTATCATTTGAACAAAAAACTTCCGAATAATTTATAGACAAAACTGCACAAATGATTCATGTGGTTTGCTCAAAATTGGCACTTTGGTTCAAAATAAAATTGGGCTAGCCCATAAGTTCAAAACTTTCATTTTCTTGCGTCTTTGGTCCAAATGGTTAACTTCCATCTATTTCCCTCTGTTAATTTATGTTTGACTAGTCAAATTAGGTGCATTTTGATCATTTCCTATTTATGGCCCTTACTTTATATTAATAAAAGAGTCCTATAAGAACGAATCTCAATCCCTCTTTGTCGTCGTTCTCGGCGGCGAATTCTTCAACAAAGCGATCGTCTTCGATTTCTTCAAGAAATAAAAATAAAAATGGTGTTTTGTTTTTGTAGTAAAATGGTCATAGTTCACACCACATGGACTAACAAAAATCTAGGTGGACGCTTCTGGGGATGCCTTACTGAGGTACGAAATGTTTTTTTTTTTTTTTTTTTTGGATTTCAGCATAAATCTCCCATTACATGTTACAATCTTCTTTTGTTTCTTTAATTTTGAAGGGATCCAAATGTCAATTTATTGGGTGGTTTGATGGTCCAATGTGTGCATGTTCAAAAGCTATTATACGTGGGTTGTTGAGGTCAATCAACAAATTGAAGTCACGAAACACAAGACTCAAGTGTTACCTGTTATGCAGTTGGATGTTGTTTGTGTTTGTTCTGGTTTATAAGAAGTAAATGGAAGTGTAATGGTTTGGGTGGTTTCTAAGAAGTAGATTGAAGTGTAGTGCTTTGGGTAGTGTTTTAATGTTTTGGGCAGTATCTTATTTAAGCAATGTAATCTTTTGGGCAGTACTTTGTGGTTAAAATGTAAGCAATGTAAGACATGTTTTGCAAGAATTTGTCAATGGTAATTGATGCGACATCGACCTCCGACGAGCGGAGATCTGGACATAACAGTGCAAAGTCGTTAGAGCCGCCCCAGGGACTGTGCCCCGGGAGCGGACTCCGACGGTCAAGTTAGATCAGCTGATAGATCTGAGATGTTCCTCCATAGATGGAGAGAACCATCTTGGTGCTGGTGGTGGTGTATGGTGGCTGACGGCGACGGGTGGTGGCTGAGCCACTCGACCAGAGTATAGTGGCGGCTGAGCCATGGGGAAGCTCCCCCTCCATGGAGGAGATACTATTCATTATATAGGGGCAAATAGGTCAAGGGGAATCAGGTCAGGCCTTAGGCCAGCCCAATTCGGGCCCAACTAGCAAAGAGCTGGGCAAGGCTGCCCGGAGGCGTCGGGCGGGGCTGGCGGGCGCGCACCAGGAAGGGCTGGCGGGCGCGCACCAGGAAGGGATGGCAAGGGAGTGCCAGGCGAGGGAGCACCTGGCCGGGCCAGCAGGAGAGTCCCCAACAGGGCTGGCAAGGGAGCGCCATGCAAGGCTGGCAAGGGAACGCCACGCAGGGCTGGCAGAAGCGCGCCAGGCCAGGATGGCGCGTTAGAGCAGTCTAGGCCATGCCAGTGGACCATATCTCATCAAGCCCCCCCCCCCCCAATCTAGTGTTATTGGTATGCGACCAATGACATCGGACTGGACTTAGTTGGATAAACCAACAGGAGAGTCCCCGACAAGGTTAGCAGGAGCGCGCTAGGCCAGGCTGGCGCGCTAGAGCAGTCTGGGCCATGCTAATGGACCATATATCATCAAGTACCCCCAATCTGGTGTTATTGGTATGCAACCAATGACATCGAACTGGACTTAGTCGGATAAACCAACAGGAGAGTCCCCAGCGGGGCTGGCAAAGGAGTCCTCGATAAGGTTAGTAGGAGCGTGTCAGGCTAGGCTGGCACGCTAGAGCAGTTTGGGCCATGCTAATGGACCATATATCATCAAGTCCCCCAAGTCTGGTGTTATTGGTATGCGACCAATGACATCGGACTGGACTTAGTCATATAAATTGTGCGTCGTCAAGTCCCCCTAGTCTGATGCGATTGGGTTGATGACAATCGGATCAGACTAGATAAAGCACCAAAGCATTTAAATAATAAAGAGAAATGACCGAACCTCGCCCACGAGAGCCATGGGGTTGTGTGACGAGCCAAACATTGCTTGAGCTGACTTGATACTCCTTCATTAAGAGGAGTGCGAGCCGGTCGATGAGATGTAACGTAACTGTTGCTGTGATCATGCGGACCGAGGCTGCTAAAGAGTGTTACGCGACACTGATGTCGATGGAATGTTGGACCGGGGTAGTTAAGAAGCGTAAGCTTGCCATTCAGTCCATGAGGCTGTTATTCGACGTGATTGTTGAGGTAGCCATGTGAGATGGGATGTCACCAGTAACCATCTACATAGTCTGCATTAATAACCATCTTGAGGATGTTTCTTGCTCGGGCTACACCTAGCTGGATTGCGGCGTACCAACCCTATTCCCCCCCCCCCTTTCTTAGAGGAGGTGAGGAATAGATTCTGAGAGCTAGGCGACTAGGTTGCTAGCGAGGGTCAAGTAGTATAGAGTTTTGAATAATCAAATCATTCGGGAATTAAAACATGTAAAGTGAAACATAATAATAAACTAATTATCTATGGTCTCAAAACTATTGAATAAAAATAGTCTCTATTATTTAATGACTAATGTTTCTAGTAATCAACTAACCACTTGAATTAAACATCAGTCATACCATGTTACGAACATGCATACTATGCCTCTCTGCGGTCCTTCCTTTGTGAATGTATCAGCTGGACATTATTCTAATGATGCTTATTTTACAATTACAAATTCTTATCACTATCCAAGATGTGATGGAACTCCAACTTAACATGCATTAATCTCCTGTGATATCAAGATTCCATAGTCTCAAAGACTGAGTCTTTGATATTACAGAGTATCCTATTGTAATTTTGTTACTAGAAACAATTCCATGGTAATGAAGGTTCAAATTCATGGTACATTCCTTGAACACTTCTCTTGAATTAAAGTTTCCAAATCATATGTAGACTTTTCAACCATCTCTCATTATGAAAACATTTCCATATTTCCACATGACCATCAATTCTAATCAAGAACCATCTCTATCCAAAATCATGCCAATATGTTCCATCCAAATTAATATCATACTTCTAACTGTCCATAAGCAACCAGTATTTTGGAATCACCTTAGAATGTTCATGACAGTTGTTTAAAAACTTTAGCCACACACAATTCTAGTCCTTTTTTCTCACAATGCTCCAACCATTTGAAAAATTAGAATAAGTGAATATTGAAGCATATATATCGATTCTACATCTGAAGCATATGAGACTCGACTCATTATATCTTATATAAGGATCTGATATATGTTCAGTATCTTACTATAATATTTCCAAATATTGAATTATCTATGTTGAACCGTTTCAACACGATATTTATATATGTCTATGACTAAATTCTATTAAACTATACAATCTAAACTTTTAGATTCGGAAAGAAGTATGAGTGCTCTCTCCCTTAAGTCTACTATAGAGAAAAAATACCCAAACTTTGCAATTTGCAAATTAAAACTTTGTTTCCTACAAACAATATTGTCAACATGCAATACTAACATAACAATTATGCTGCCACTAGCTTTGACATGTACCCAAAAATTAACTAGACTTCTAGAAATCAATACTCTTGACATTCTTACTGAAGTATAGATTTATGTTACGCGATGCTTCGATAAGTGTCCAACTAGAGTTCTTAAGCTTATACACCTTCTTTGGATAGCATATGTGTGTGTTTAAACC